TTGAATTTCAAAAATTTAGATATAAGTATTTATTAAGTAATAATGTTTACTTAAAAAGGAGGTTAAATGTTTCTTTTTTTTTTAATTTTTTTTTTAAAATCTGAACATGAAATGCTGCTGAACTCTTCGTGAGAGAGAATCTAATTTGATTAAATAGTTTTAATGAAAAATATCTCTTCAAAATGAAAAGTTCTGTTGAATTTTATGGCATATTATTATATTTAATCAATAAATAAACTTTTTTCGTCCATCTCTTAAATCTTTCGTTATTAAAAATTACTGATACTTTTACTTTTACGCTTTAAGGTTTTATTATTGCTTTAAAATGACCTCTCTAGCAGATTTAAGATTTTATTATCACTTAAAATTACCTCCCTGACAGATTTAAGATTTTATTATCATTTTAAAATTACCTCTCCAACAGATTTAAAATTTTATTATCACTTTAAAATTATCTCACTAATAGACAAAGATTTGCTTTTTTCTGCAAACAAATTTTCGAAACTCTCCTTTCATAATCTTTATGCTATCTCAAAATGACTTATTAGCACCTTATCATAACTATCATTATCTAATACTCGTTATCAGTATCTTATTATCATTATTATTATCATCATTATCTAATGGATAATGTTCGAAATGCATTTGCAACACATTAATGATATCATATGCTTTATCAACAATATCAATTAAAAATTTATCATTTAAAATTTTCTCACTACAAAAAAAAAAAAAAGAAAAAACTTAATAAATGCAACGATATAATTTAAAAGTATTTAAAATACTATTCAGTTTAGCAATACTTCGAATGCATAATATTTTGCAAGGATACATTAAATTTTTTTTTTTTTTGAAAATAAAAAAAAAGTGTTAAAATTTTTTTTGTTGCAAGTTTATGAGACTTTTAAAATAATGGTACTAATTATCATTTATGATAAATTTAGTGTAATATTTTTGAAACTATTGTTAATTTTTGTTTTTTCTAAAACGAAAAGTTAATTACATTACTAATTTTAGTTTTTTTTTTTTTTATTTTTATTTTTATTTTTCTTTTGTGTCGGATATTTTTTGATGTATTTTTTTTTCCTTTTTATCATTTTAATGATAATAGCTTCTGCCAGATGATTAGAAAAATTTTTCTTTTTTTTGCTCCTTCTCTCTCTTTTTTTTTTCTTTTCGTATATAATGTTAAAAGAATTTTTCTTTTTGATTAGATTCTTTTCATTTTTTCGTTAAATATAACAATTATTCATCGCCAATCATTACTTTTTTAAAAAAAAAAATTCAAAAAATTTAAGATAGTAAAATGTTTGAAATAATTTCACAAAAACGTTATCATTTGAAAAAAAAAAAAACTTTTTATAATTTTTGAAAAAAAGAAGAATTATTATTCAATGTAATTTAGTAGTGATATAATTGCAATTTAGAAAATTTTAAATTAAAAATATATTATTAAAATTATGATTGCTTTATTGCATATTAAATTAAAGTTTAATTAGTATATGTCATTTAGTGCTAAGTATTTTATTAATTTTCTAAATTTTAACATTTATTTATTTAGTTCAAAGAATGAAAACAAATGCTAATCCACCGATTTAGGCTTAAATTACATATGGATTGCAAACTGAATTGCTATCAAATAGTTTAAATGAGATGGAAGAGATAAAATTGATAAATGATTCAGATATAAACAGTTGTCTTCGATCATCAAATGCCATACCTTTTCAAATATTTAGCACTTCTTGACTATATATTTTAATATATTATAATTCAATTTAATTAAAAGATGCATTAATTAATTTTTAATTTTTCACTATTTTATTTCATTTATTAAATAATATCATTATTTTATCTCATATTTGCAATATTGTGTAATAATTGTAGTAATAAGTAATGCATTTGTAAGAAATATGCTAACAAAAAAAAAAAAAAAATAAGTAATTTAAATGATAACGATAGCAGTAAGCAATTAGTGATAATTAATTATACAATGAAAGATAATGATAAGGTACAAAGATTGAATTTTAGTATTTTATTGATAACTTTTAAAATTTTGTATAGATCATTTGTTACAGAGCAAATAGTAATGGATAAAGAAAAAAAAATTCTCTTTGATCGTTAATATATTTTTGTTGAGATGAGCATATGAGCAGTAGAAATTTTAAATTGTAAGCTGAAATATTTAATAAATTGTTAAGATTAATTATGATAATTTCTTCGTCCAAATTTTGTTATTCAATTTGATTTCATTTTGTCACTAATATTTCTATAATTAACTATTCATATTAATTATTCTGTAATAAACAATCAATTTTGTTTTAATTAATTCAAAAAAAAAAAAAAATTACTTCGTTAATTCGTAGATTAAAATTAAAATTATTTAATAATTTGTTGAAATTAATTATGATAATTTCTTTGTCCAAATTTTGTTATTCTATTTGATTTCATTTTGTCATTAATACTTCTGTAATTAACTATTCATATTAATTATTCTGTAATAAACAATCAATTTTGTTTTAATTAATTCAAAAAAAAATTACTTCATTAATTCGTAGATTAAAATTAAAATTAATATTAATAGTGAAATTTTTTTACAGATTTTATTACTATTAGGCATTTTTAAATTCACATAATTTAATGTTTAAATTGAAATCATTTGACAATAATAATAGAAAAAAAAAAATGTCAGTTTTATTTCATCTATTCCTCAATCAAATTTACCTCAAAAAAAAGAAAACATTTTCCATTATAATAATTCATTTGTTCATTTTAAATATTTTTTAAAAAAAAAATGAGTTGAAATGAAATTTTGACCATTGTTTAAATATTTCTTTCAGTCTTCATTATACCTTTTATCTTTTTTTTTTTTTTTCACTTTGTTTTTCTTTTTGTTTTTACTAAACAAAACTCTTGCAAAATGATTAATTAATTTCAGTTGTCAAGATTTTATTTATTGATAAATCACAAAACATTTGCTTTAAATTTAAAATTTCTTATCGTTAATAATTTCTATTATAGTTTATTTTGTTTTTTTTTTTTTATTTTTTGTCTTTTCATAATTAATAATTAGTTCTATGTTTTGGTTAGCAAAAAAATGAGCAAAAGATTTTGCTTATTTATTTTTGTAAATATTTGCTAGACAAATAAACAATGATTATTTATATAACAAAATATTTAATCAGTAAATAATCACATGATATTTTATCATTTAAAGACATAAATGTTTTTAGTTAAAAATTTTCTTTCATTTATATTTTCTTCCTTTTTTTACATTCCTGGACATTTGAAAATTTTTTCATCAATTAATTGATCAGTCAATCGATCGATCAGTTAATCAATCAATCAATCAATTTTTTTTTGCTTCCACAATAATTGAACTTTATGATATCGAAGTGAAGCAATTTGTAAATGTTAAAATAATTTGAAGAAAGTAACATTGAAATGTCTAAACTAAATTACAAAAGAAAAACTAAGAGGGAAAAGGGAGAGAGAGAGGTAGAGAGAGGGCGAGAGAGAGAAAGGAATTTTTATAAAATACACTTTCAACAGTTGGCATTCAAATAACGAAAAAAAAAATAAAATTCATCCTTAGGTCGTATCAACACAAAATAGACAGACAGACAGACACACACACACACACACACACACACAGACATACACATACACTACAATCGCATGGCAGGGTTTTTTTTTTTCAAAATTAATTTCAATTATTAAATATTTGAAATTTAGAACTGAAAAAGAATAAATAATGCAAAATTTATTTTTCAATTCTTTTTGTTATTTTACAAAAAAATTTATAATATTTAGAATAAGTTTTGTAAGAATAAATATGGCATATTTCAAAAAATTGTTCTGCTAGCATTTGCATGACTAAAAATTAAATCAATTTGCATTTTAATTCAATTTAAGCAATTTTGTTAATTTGTTATAAATTATTCAAATTTCATTTTTCTAAACTATATTTATGCTCTAGTGCACAATTACAATATGACATTATTCCTAAAATAATTGCATAATTGTATTATAAAATAATTTCAGGTCGTGCGTGAAATTTTTGACGTAAAATAATTACATAATTGTATTATAAAATAATTCCAGGTCATACGTGAAATTTTTGACGAATAAGCGAAATGAGCATTTTATTAATTTTTAATTGGCCTGTTTGATGCATAACAATACTTTTATGATAACTACTTACATTTATTGTACTGAAAAGCCACTATAAGTTCGATATCACTAAATGATAAAGTGATAATGGATAATGATATCACCAAGTGATAAAATGATAATGGATAATGATATCACCAAATGATAAAGTGATAATGAACAATTATTTGGCAATTTTAAAACTAATTATTGCCTTTTTGGTGGTCGAATTACATTTTATCAGCAATTATTTTACAACAAAAAATAAATGCAAATTTTCAACAATTCTACAGTTCAGGCCATCTTTGCAATTGTTATTTGTTGCCTGAAACTATCCTTCTAAAAGGTTAGTAAATTTTATTAAAATAATTTTATCAAATTTTTATCAAAATTTTATTAAAATGAAAAGATAGAAGGAGAAAATTGAAATGAAATAATATTAGTAATGAAAATTTTGCACTTTTCTTTTCTTAGTTTTTTTTTTTTTTTTGAAATTTTTTTATGAATTTGAAAATTTTCAATTTTCTTGTAAAAATTTTTATTATATATTCAGAAAGTTTATGATGCAAAAAGAGAAAAAAATTTCTTTTTTTGATTAATTGCATAAATGAATAATTAAGGTTAAGAAATTACGTATAAGTGAGACGTGTTCATTTTACGTATAATAATTCAGTGAGACGTGTTTTTTACGTGTAATAATTTAGTGAGACGTGTTCTTTTTACGTATAATAATTCAGTGAGACTGTTTTTTTACGTATAATAATTCAGTGAGACTGTTTTTTTACGTATAATAATTCAGTGAGCGTGTTCTTTTTACGTATAATAATTCAGTGAGACGTGTTAGCCAATCGATGCATCGTTGTTGTACTGAAGCATTAGAAGCTGGCCGGAAGCTTTATCAACAAGCATTGAGAAAGTTTAGAAAAAATGATGCGGAAAATTTCGATTCAGATGAACGTACCGCACTCAGTCAGTCAGCTGAACGTATTCCGGAATCTGTTGATGATGAATCATCGTCTGCTGTACGGCTTTCTCGTCGATCTTCCCTCCTTGTAAAAATTTTGTCACATTGTTTTTTTTTTTTTTTTTTTTTATTAGAATTAGTTTTTAAAAGAAAAGAAAAGAGATGAAATAAAAAATTTAATTAATACTTTACCAAACTTTAATTTATCAATTTTGATAAATAACTGATAAATAAATAAATTTCTAATAAAATTTCTTTTTTTTTTTTCTCAAAAATTATCGATGAATTTTGCATATATTTTTAGGTCGATTTAATTTCACTTTTTCAACGATCTTCTTCGAACACTGTTAAACCAATTCGTCTTCCTGGACAGTTCACTGGAACACAGTTAGTTTTATTCTTTATTTTTTTGTTTTTTACTTATATTTTTTACTCCAATTTTTAATTAATCATAAGCAAATTTTGGTAGTAATAAAAATTAAAAATAATTTAGCACAAATCGTTTCATTAATATAAAATCTCATATATTTGTGTTTTATATTAATTAAACGATTTGTATCAAAATTTATTAATTTTCAAAGTTCAAATTTATTAATTTTTAAAGTTTACAAGAGATTCTGTGATATGTTAAAAGTGTCTAAAACTGATTTCAAATATATTATTGCATATTTAAGAAATCATTGAAAAAATCCAGTAATTGCTATTAAGCCAAAATGTAAACAACTAAAAAAGAAAAACGAACTTAATTAATTAATTCATCAAAATTTAATAAAAATGAATTAATGGATAAAATTTTAGAATGTAGTGTTCCCTTTTCTGTTGCTCTGATATATCATTCAAGTATATTCTAATTTATGATTAATTCATTGAAATTTTAATTTATAATTAATTCATTCAAGTATATTTTAATCTATTATTATTTTAATTTATAATTGCATGCTTGTTGTCAAATTCTTATCAAACTTTTAGCCTCAATTTTTTTTTTTTTTTTTTTTTAATCACTTAAATAGTTATTTTCTTTGAATTTTATAGCATCACAGCCTGAAATGATAATAGAAAATGATTAATATTAAAAAATGAAAATTTTTACAGGGATGAAAATGAGGAAGAGGAAGAAGAAGATCCGAAGCAGATGTCAAAAGGATGGGTACTGGAAACGATACGTCAAAAAAAGGAAGCAATTATCCGTTTACGAAGTCAACCGTGGAGTATGAAGCGGAAAAGACGTGCCCTAAAGTATGCAAAATAAATCATTCATCACTTCTTCATTTGAATTTTTAAAAAAAAAAGATAAACATTACAGTATGGTTGTTTAAAAACAAAAAAAAAAAAAAAATACTTTATAAAGTATAAAATTTATTTTCAATAAAAAATTAAAAATAATCATATTAAATTGTTAAAACATATAAAATAATTAATAAAATTAAATGTCTAAAATTCATTACAGTATATGAATATAAATTTAAATTTTAAAAGAAATTTTTTAGAGTAGCAAGACGATATCTAAAACGTCAACAATCAAAAGTATCACGATGGCATCTGTATAAAGTAGAAGCAACCAGGCAATGGACAGCATTTGGCCGTTGGTGTAGTAATATGAAAATTTATTTAATACCATGGGAAGCAAAAATTAAAACAATCGAGAGTAGGTTAATTTAATTTAATTAATTATTCTAATTAATTAGTTTTTTCTTTATTTTCTAATATATTCTATATTCTAATTAATTATGATTATAATTTTTTTGTTTTCTATCAAAGATTTCTTTTTTGTTGAAATGCTAAAATTAGTAAAATAAATTTTTAGAAAACAACAATTTCCTCCAAGATTTTCACATAAACGATTTAAACAAAGAAGAAACTTCTTGAAACCTTTGAATGCATAGTGAATTTTATATTATTAATTAAATTTTTTGTATTTATTATTTTTGAAGTTTAAATTGATAATTTGCATATTTATTTTAGGTCATTATGGTTCTGTAGTTTCATCTTATTTTACATTCTTACGATGGATTCTTAGTGTAAACATTACTATGACAATAATAATGATGTTGTTTGTTACCATTCCAGAGGTAAGTATACTTTCGATAAATGAATGATATAATAAATTTAAAATGTTAAGGTTTATTTTACTTTTCAAATATAATTCACGTAAGTTTGCTTGAAAAACGTGATCGTAACGTGAACGTGATTAAGCATGCAAACATATCAATAATGAAAGTTTGCTTATTTAAATATGTATGTTTAAACAATTGTGAAGCTGTTTTCTAAAATAAATTCAAGTGCTTTGAACAAAGTTAAAATATTATTAAAATTAACAATTTAAAAGCTGAAAATATAACTTTCTCTTTTTTTTTTTTCCTTTTTGAAAACTTTGTTAAAATTTTATATTACATTAAATTTTTGTCACTAATTTTTTGTAAAAATTTTATGTAAATTAATTTAATAGCAATTATTGCCTATCTAAAATGATAAATTTTATAAAATATTTATTATATTAGCGAAAAAAAAAGGGTTTGTTTAGTGGTTAGCAGATTCTCGAGGTGGTCCAGAACGATTTAATCGAACGTATCATATTAAAGTTATGAAAGAGAAAGATATACCACGAGCTGATGAGTTGAATACTGTTCTTGATTTTAAAGTAAGTATTTTTTATTAAAGTATTCGTTTTTTTTTTTTTTTTTTTTTTTTTTTGTAGACATAAAATCGCTATAAAAGTTAAAAGGAAAAATATTAATTAACAAATTGTCAAAAAAGTATTAATAAAATTAATTACTGAGTTTTGCTAATCTGTCGATGACAAATAAATTTGCATTTTCTACTAAAACTAATTTTCAAAATACTTTCAAAAAATATTTGTCCAATAATATCGTTGTAAAAATCGTTGACAAAAATGTTATGCATGCATTATTGCATTATTATTTTAATAAAATATATTGTTTATTGTTTATAAACTAATGAAATTCATATAGTACTCAATTAGAAAGGAATTAAAATCAAAAGATCACTTTAGATCACTGAAGATTTGCTGATAATTTATTATGATTTATAGGATATTATCACTAAGCTGAACCATTCAAATAATAATAATAATGATAATAACAATAATAATAATAATTATAATGGAATGTAACAGTGTTTAAAAAAAGCAAACTATATATTTTTTAAAAGTTTGAATGACCTGATTGCATATAAATTAGAATAATTGTAAAATGAATTTAACTCTTTTTCTATTTAATGTTATACTAAAATTATAAAATAAAATTATTACTAAAATACTATACTAAAATTATAAAATGAAATTAATACTAAAATACTGTACTAAAATTATAAAATAAAATCATTACTAAAATACTATACTAAAATTATAAAATGAAATTAATATTAAAATACTATACTAAAATTATAAAATGAAATTAATATTAAAATACTATACTAAAATTATAAAATGAAATATTACTAAAATACTATACTAAAATTATAAAATGAAATTAATATTAAAATACTATACTAAAATTATAAAATGAAATTAATATTAAAATACTATACTAAAATTATAAAATGAAATTATTACTAAAATACTGTACTAAAATTATAAAATGAAATTAATACTAAAATACTGTACTAAAATTATAAAATAAAATCATTACTAAAATACTATACTAAAATTATAAAATAAATTAATATTAAAATACTATACTAAAATTATAAAATGAAATTAATATTAAAATACTATACTAAAATTATAAAATAAAATTATTGCTAAAATTTTTTAACGTTATTTACTAGATTTTTTCCCTTTTTTCAAATTTTTCTTTCTTAATTAAATTTCATTTTAGGGCTATTTCGAGTATTCATTGTTATTTTATGGCTACTATAGCAGTGAGACATATTTCGGTGATACGGTGCAATACAGTGTACCTGTTGCATATTTTATTGTAAATTTATTTATTCTCGGTTACAGTTTCTTTATTATCTTACAAAAGTAAGTTTTATACTATTTTAATTTTTTTTTTTAATTTATTTTATTTTTTTTTTTATGCAAATTTATCAAATCAATAGCTTTTTTGTTTTTTAATTTTAACTTTAAAGACAGAATAATTTTCAAAAACTTTATAAAAAATAATTTCTTATATTTTTCATAAATTGTGACCGGAAATAGTTTCATAAACGGTTATAGTGTAAGGAATTTTAATGGATATTTGAATGTAGCAATAGTTTAGAGAAAAATTAAGGAATATTTTTCAGGATGGCATCAAATGCTCGACAAAGTAAGCTTGCCGGTGGTAAAGCGGAACAATATGTATTTAACTGGAAATTATTTGCCGGTTGGGATTACTCAATCGGAAATGCGGAAACTGCTTCGAACTTTGTAATGGCTAATGTTAACAAATTTCGAGTACGTTATATTGCATTTTTGTTTGTTTGTTTTGTTTTAAATTTCTAAAATTACAAATTTTGCATTCTGAATTTAAATTTAATTGAATTTAATGAATTTAGATTAGAATTAATTGTTTGAAATTGGATTTATTTAACTAATTTGAAGTATTTTTGCAGGAAATAATTGCTGAATACAATGTAAACCGTACAAAAAAATTCGAGTAAGTATTTATTAACCAATATTATTCTTTTTTTTCTTTTCACTTATCTTAAGTGAAATACGTGAAATACGTCATTTAATTTATTTGCATTGTATAATATATATTTTTTTTTAATAAATAGCGTATGTTTTGTCTATCTTTCAAAATAACAATAAATATGCTCAATAAAAATTAGAAGAAACGAATGATAAGCAACAAATGATAATCAGAAGGAAATTCTATAGATCAAATGATATCAGTGATAATTTGAATCATATCACTAAACTTTTATTTCATTTGATTTTACAATTTATATTTGCTATGAATCAAAAATTTTCTGATAATCAAGCAATCATTTAAAAAAAAAAAAAATGTGCGATCGTTTAAAAATTTTTTCCTAAAATTACAATTTAAAAAATTTGCAAAAAAAAAAAAAAAATTTCCAATTCTCTAAATAATTAAATTTTATTTTTTTTTTTTCATAAGAAATTTTAATAACAAAAATTATTTTATTAATTTTTTTTTCTTTTTTGTTTTTTTTTTTTTTTATAGCTTTCTTCAATTTACTCTTCGTGTCTTAGCAAATATATTAGTGTTTGCGATGCAAGCTGGATCAGTATGGGCTATTCTTGCTGTTAGTCAAATTACAACAAAGACAAGTTTCATACAGCGGGTATAGGTTTATTTTATGGCTTCTATAAAATTTTCAATTAAAATTAAATTTATAAAATTGAATTAAATAAATTTACATTTTTAATTTTTACAAGTATGAATGATAAAGCAAAAAAAATTCATCCTAATTTTTTATTTATAATAATATTATAAAAGATAATTTCTGTAAATTTTTTTTTTTTTTTTTTTGAAATTTTGAAATTTAAATTATTATCAAATAATTGGTCGAATTCATTTTAGAATGCTGTATCAATAACGGTCTCATTTATCACTTTAACATTTCCAAATTTTTTCGATCTCATCAGTAAAATGGAACGTTATCATCCACGAACTGCTCTTCGACTACAATTAGGAAGGTATCGTATTGTTTGATCAAATTTTATTTATTTTTATCTAAAGTATCAGATGAAAGGATTACTTATACTACAAGTATTACCTATACTATAATCATAAGACTATTACCTATACTACTATAATTTGATCTTAGTTTTGTCCTACAAATCGATTGAATATAATATATCAAAGTTTCGACGTATAATAATACTAAATATTTGCATTAAAGTAAGAATAAAATGTTATATGCTGTTTGTATCTCTTTGATTATTGATAATAATTGATAATTTCAATAGTTTTTCCTATTTTAAATTTTAATTGCTAATAATTTTTTTCATTATCAAAAATTAATTTTTCTTTATTAATTAAAATTATTAGATTTAATAGTGATTGCTTTTTATCAGATTTGTCAGAGTTTTTTTTTTTTTTTTTTATCAGATTAATTATTTCAGGGTTTTATTCCTCTACATATTGAATTATTATACTCTTATTATTTCATTGATGTTCATGTTGAATACAATGGAAAGTCAACGAAACGTTGGTGAACGTCTTATTCCGGTTGCACAGTATTCTTCCGATTATCATCATAACAAGGCACCGGTTTACAACACTTCCTATAATCAATTTATTAAACAACGGTTCATTTTAATTTATATTCATTTTTCTGTTTTTTTTTTTTTTTTTTAACTTAAAATTATTTATATCAAATTTGTATTTAATAAGACTTCATTTATGAACTTCTTTTGATTGAATAATTTTTAAATTATTTAAAAAATATTTTAAGATAATGCATTAGTAAAAATAATTTGAACACTGCAAATAATTTATAACTTTACAATCAATCAATTTTTCATCAGTATGAAGAATAAAGAAAAATGATCGGTAATTTGATCATACAAATGATTTGGCATTGTTATTGTACTTTCTTAATGTAATAAATATATTATTTCGATAATTAAATTATTTTAATGGAAAGTCAACGAAATTAATTAAAAAATTTAAAATTATTTTTATTCAAAAAATAAAATTTAAAAAAGAAATTTCATTTAAAAAAATTATTTTAATATGTTATAATCAAATTATATTAATATCGTATATTATATACTTATATTATGTAATACTTATAACATTATTATGCACTTTCTAAAACTTTCTTTTTGAAATTCACTGAAAACAATGAAATTAAATAATTGAAATGCTATTAATTGAATCTTTCTTTTTTGCTTACATAATAATATAAATATTTATATTATTTATTAACAGCGCTGGTCATCAAATATTATAATTCTTATATTATTATTGTTATTATTAATATGTAATTTCTTAATGTTTTTTTTTTTTTTTTTAAAATTCACTGAAAATAGTGATAATAAATTGAATTATTATTATCAGAACTGATCGTCAAATATTATGTAATACTTATATTCTAATTGTTATTATTAATATTATTATTATTATGTACTTTCTTAATGTTTCTTTTTAAAATTCACTGAAAATAATGATATTAAATAACTGAAATACTATATATTAAATATTTATTATCAGAACTGATCGTCAAATATTACATAATACTTATATTCTAATTATTATTATTATTATTATTATTATTATTATTATTATTATTATTATTATTATTATTATTATTATTATTATTATTATTATTATTATTATTATTATTATTATTATTATTATTATTATGTACTTTCTTAATGTTTCTTTTTAAAATTCACTGAAAATAGTGATAATAAATTGAATATTCATTATCAGAACTGGTCGTCAAGTGGTATTCGATTTTCCATCTGTTGCATCATCACTTTTCAATCGTAGTAAATTCATTGACATTCCAACAACGCCATCTCCTGGCAAATCATGGACAACTGTAAGAACTAATTATATCACAATTATTCTTGATATTATTTGCAAAAAAAAAAATTAGTTTAACTTTTATTATTCTTCCAATTTCATACTTTAGCATTTTTTTTTTTTTTTTTGAAAACTATATATCATAATTATGATTATCATTTATAATTTTGCGAGAATTATCATTGTCATGATTATTATGATTTATAACTGAGTTCTTAACAGTATTAGTTTTTTAGTTTCAATTAAATTTATAATTATGCATAAATTATTCTATCAACAAATGCAGGCGTTTTTTTTTTTTCTTCTTAATGATAAAATATAAAAATAGTTGTATTTTAGTGAGTAATTAAAATAACAGTAATATTTTTATTATAATTACATTGAAATTTTTTTAGCAAGTAAATCTATAAAAAAATAATTGGTTAGTATAGTTATAATGTAATAATTATAGCATTTCTAGCATGATTATACTTATTACTATATCATAATTTTACATTTTTAATATTACTAAATGCTTATTATTTCACATATTATTTTTACCTAAAATACCTAAAATGATTATAATGATTTTTTATCATGATTCTATAAATCATTATCACTTTTCAAGGTTTTTCCAAACTTTGGCCCACTTGGTATCACAAATCCAAAAGCTGTTGTAAGTGAAAATCGACGTGGTATTATGAATGCAAGTACGTTTGTTGCATATCCAATTGGTAACACTGATTGGACAAAAAATATTTCCGCTAAACCAACATTTCTAAATTATTCCACTACCGTACAAGCGGTTTTGTCAGCAGCTCGTTTGTCCACGGATTGGTATGAGGAATGTTGGGAAAATCTTATCGGAGAGGTTTGTCATATTTCTTTTTTTTTTTCGTTGTTATAATTATCATTAAAATTAGGTAAGTTACTTGTTAAAATCATATACTTTAAATTTTTATTAAAAATCATATATTTTAAAATCATTTTCGTTTTTCATTATCATAATTACTATTAAAATTAGGTAAGTAACTTGTTAAAGTCATATTTTTATTAAAATTATATATTTTAAAATCATTTTCTTTTTTTTTTTAAAATCATCTATTATTCTGCTAATTATTATCATTAGTGCATTATCATTATCTTTATTAGTAACTTTTATTTGCATATTATTGCAATATTAAAATGATTATTGATTATTTTAATTGTTACTAATTCTAAATGATATAAATGATTTGGAAAGGTAGTTGAAATGAAAAAATATTCACTGCAGTAAAAGAAATAAAATTTGAATATTTTACAATGATCAAATAAACGAAATAAGATATGGCTTAAATTATAAGTATAGAATAATTAAAAATAAAATAATATTTATTCAAAAATTTCATTTAATTCTAAAAAAAAAAAAAAAAAGAAAAAATTAAAGGAAATAACAAAATTGGTGACAACTGATTTGGTAATGACAATTGCATCCATTTTGGTGATCGATTTTTTTCGAGCTCTTTGGGTTCGATACACCAATATTTGGTGGTTTTGGAATTTGGAAACAACATTTGTGCGTTTTTTTTTTTTCTTTTTATTCTTATCAATATTTAAACAAAAAAAAAAAAAATAAATTATCAATTTTTTAAAAAATTATTTTAAAAAAAAAAATTTTTTTTTTTTATAATAATTTCAGCCAGAATATGGTGAATTTAAAGTTGCTGAAAATGTGTTACATTTGGTAAATAATCAAGGAATGATATGGTTGGGTTTATTTTTTGTTCCTATGCTACCAGCAATTAATAATATTAAATTAATTATTCTAATGTATATTCGAGGTTGGGCTGTGATGACTTGTAATGTGCCAGCTCGGCAAATATTTCGTGCTTCCAGGTATGAAAATTTAATTTAAAATTTAATAAAATTTAAAAAATTATTAATTTACAATAAATACTCAAAAAAAAAAACCATTTTGTCGAAATAATTTGCAAAATTTTATTTTATTTTTTTTTTTTTAAAAAATTTGAATTTGAATTTATGATATATTTTGTTGAATTTTTTTTACTGCAGCAATTAAATATTGTATGATATTCAAAATTTTAATTCTTCCTTTTTACGATATATTTTGTTGAACTTTTTTACTGGAGCAATAAAATATTGTATGAAATTTATAAATTCATAAATTTTAAAATTATATGAATCAATTTATTTTACTTTTTTTTGTAATTTCAAAAATTTCTACTATTATTTTTTTTTTTTTCAGGTCAAGTAATTTTTATTTAATGCTATTATTGCTTATGTTATTTCTTTGTACACTTCCGGTTGGTTATGTAATCGCTTCAAAAAAACCATCTAAAATATGCGGTCCATTTGGGTTTGTTTTAATTCGTTTTCTTTTTTTTTTTTTTTTCCACCAATAATTTTAAAATTTAGGTTTTGTTGATATGATCAGAGATTTAAAAAAAAAAAAAAAAAAAGAAGTGTGAAAAAGAATGTGAAATTGGGCATTTAAAAGATTAAAAAAAAAAAAAAAAAAAAGAATTTGAAATTTAACATCTAAAAACAAATTTTTTTTTTCATTTAAAAATTTGCTACTTTTCTCATTCAAATTTTATTCATTATTTTGAAAATTCTTTTGAAATTCTTCAAATTTAATCAATTAAATTGTTAATGTTTAAAAGTTTTTTGCTATTTTCACAAACTACAAAATTTTTTTTTTTAGAAGTCAAGAACGTTTCTATAGTGTAATTGTTCAATTGCTTGATCGTAATTTAACAAAAGGTCTTGTTGATGCGATCAGATATATGATATCACCGGGTATTGTTATTCCAGTTTTATTACTTCTTCTTTTAACAATATATTTCCTTTTTGCTCTGGTACGTGGTTTACGTGAAGCAAATACGGATCTCACCAAACAATTATTACATGTATGTTTATTACTTTATTACTTATACTTTCATTTTACTCTAGTTTTTTTTGTCCATTTTTTTTACTTGACTATAATGTATCTTTTATTGTTTCAAGTAAAAATTTAAATGTTTTTCATTTTTAAATATATCAAATTACGCTTACATATTCCTTTAGTATCTATTTGAGTAACAAAACAGAAAAAAAAGTTTTTTTTTTTTTTTCTTAACTTTCGACATTTGTTTTATTTCATTTTCAAGACTAAAAATTTTTAGGAAAGAACAGAAGAAAAAAAACGAATTTTCGAATTGGCTGGTGGTGGAAAGAAACGTCAAATTTCTAATAATCAAGAAATTCAACATTCTTCTTTAATTGCCAGTGATAGTAATAATACAACAAATAAAACTAATAATATTTTGGTTAATTTTTTTTTTTTTTTTTGCATTATTTTTTAAGTTATATTTGCATAATTACATTTGATTATTTTATTTTATATTTTTTTGAAGACTATATTTTAAGTTATATTATGTTAGCAATCTTTTATTGCATAGAATGAATACTTATTTTGTATTATATTTAATTTTTTTTTCTTTAATTTGCTTCATTTTAATAGTTTTAAGAAAAAAATAATCAAATAATGTAATCAAAAATCATAAATCAAAATTGAAATTTTAGGAGGATGAAATTTTATCGGATAAATCGCATAAAAGAAGTAATAAGGATTTACACAGTTATGTTCCCTCATTAAAGTAAGTCATAACAAATGCATATGTTATAATAATGCATCAGTGATATGATTAGATGATAAGATCTATCAGAATTATTGATTAAATATTGAACTAAACTTATGCGAATGAATGCTAAATTTATTTATTTATTTAGTAATTTTCTTCTTCAATAAATGCCAAATTTATATTTCATTGACATAATTAGAATTACTTGATAATTCATTCATATTATAACCATTTATTCGATAATGTCCGGAAAATATTAATTTAATATTTATTAATTGACAGTTTATATTTAAATTTAAAAATGTAGCCATCAAAGAAGGCATCATTTAGAAGTGTTAGCGAAGCGGAACATTCGGAATCAGAAGAGGAAGAACCGGAACAGAAACTGAAAAAACATCAAAAAGACGATGAAAAAACCGAAATGATTGAAGTGAAACGTGGTTGGAAGCAAAAAATTATAACTTGGCTTGGTTTAAATAAAAATTCCAATAGGTCAATAAGTTTATATTTTTTTAAAAAAAAAGATCAGTTAGACAAATTTAGTTAAATTACAAAAAAAAAAAAACGGAACAAGTTAAAGTATAACAGAATTAGTTAATAACTACAAAAAAAGGAACAAGTAAAAGTATATAAAGGTGATATTTACTAAATTAAGATTGTATTCATTAAAGAAACTAAAAAAGAATTTATGAAAAATTCGATTAGCAAAATTTTAATTCTCCTTTTTTTTTTTTTAAGAGCAAGAAAAAATCGTCTACGATATAATCAAAATGATATTGAATCCGGAAATGAATCATTCATATGTGCCGGAAAATCAGCAACATCGGATGATCAACGTTCGATGACATCCATTACCGAATCGTGTTTACATAGCTGGTTAAAATAATTTTTTGTTTACTGTTAAAATTATTTGCTTTAATCAGTCATTGATAAAAAAAAAAAAAAAAAAAAGGAATTTCATTTTAAAGATTAGTAATGTTTAATTTTCTTTTTCTTTTAAATTAGCAACCTTATTTTTATTGATTTTTAGAGAGAAAAAGATTGTTTAAAACTTGAAATAATTTTTAATCGATTATTTAATGAATGTTTTATTGGTAATCAAAAATAAATTAATATTTCAGTCCTTCATCAGAAAAATTAATTGGAGAAGATGATAATGAAATAAAAAGTAATCGAAACGGTTTTTTCACTACTAAAAAGTAAAACTGTTATTTATCTTAAATTTTCAAAAAAAAAAAAAATTTAATTTAAAAATTTGGTTTAATCGAAATACTTAGGCTATTAAGTGATTTTTCTAGCTATCAAAATCTTATCATAACAGATTTTGCTGAGCAAACTAAAGTATTAATAAATGCAATAAATAAAATTAGCTAAAAATGTAATAACAATGTTTCGTTCATTGATTTTGCAGCAATTTTATACCTTATTTAATAATTGATAATATTATCAGAAATGATTAAGAATATTTATGATAAACCATTGAATGTTAAATTATTTCCTAAAAAGCTTTTTTTTTTTAAAAAAAAAAAAAGAAATAACGAAGAAGCATTTATGTTATTCATTATCGATGCAAATATTATTGTATCTAAAACATTATTTTTTTTTTTTTTTTTTTTTTTAATAATTTTTTAACATTGCAAAACTTTTAGTAATGGAAAGCAAATTAAAAAGCAAATGGTATTAGAAGATTTATCAGTACCACAATATCATGAAACTTTAATGGAACAGACTGTCTCATTAATTAAACCTGCAAATGATAATAACAGGTAAATTCAAATTCATGCAGACTTATGCTTATCAGCAAAAGACTCTCTATATTATATTATTGTTTCAGTAAATTGATTATTTCTGCTAGCCAATAGTTATTGTTTCAGTAATTTGATTATTTCTGCTTAGATTCATTTTTAATTGTTAAATAAATAAGTAAATCATATGATCTAACATTGCTAATGTTAAAAATCAAATTTATCATATAATTCAGCAACTAAAAAAAAAAAAAATTATCGATTGGAATTATTAACTTATTTAAATCATTCAAAAAATTATATCATTTTGATAATTTCAATGAGAATAATTACAGTCATCAAATCCAAGATCAACAACATCAAAATCACAAATCATTTGCAAACGATGATTCATTCCATCAATCATCAAAAGAAGTTGAAAATCGAGAATATGATGATATGTCAAATGTATCAGATCCACGCTTCTCGTACGCCGATCCATACAGTAGGTAAGAATAATTTGTTCAAAAAAAAAAAAGAAAGAAAAAAAAGAAAGAAAGAGGAATTTCTTTTATGTCTGAATTGAAATGATTTATTAAGAAAAATTAATTAATTAAATTATTATTTTAGTTATACAAATGCAATGATGTCACCATTAATGGAAATGCAAACATTATCACCGACAATATATTCTGAAAGTGAAATAGAAGCAGAAGATGAATTTAATGAAATTACTGGTACTCTAAAACTGGAAGAACATAATAGGTAAGAAAAAAGAATTTAAATTTTGAAAAGTGAAAATTTAAATTTTGCACTTATACATATCTTTATCTAAAAAAAAAAAAAAAAAAAAAAAAAGATTCGTCAATCTTTGTGCAACAGATATTCTGAAATTTTGCAGGAACGACGAAGAAAATAGATATGGCAAATTAAAATCAGATTTAAGACAAAAAGTAGGACAAGATGAAATTGCCCAAGAATTGAAGCCAAATGATACAAGTATTGTTGTCCATCCGGAAATACATATTTCGGCAGCGATATCCGATACTAATACGGAATGTAAAAAGAAATTAAATGATGGAAATCGAAATTTGCCAATGAGTAAAATCAATCCGCAAATTAAATTGGGTAAAGTGGAAGCACGAGTTTTTCTTCATGAAGCAAAACCGAAATGGCATCATTCGGAAGTGCTAGAAAGACCTCAGTTATCAAGTGATTCAGAATCTCGAATGGTTGTTGTTGGTGATGATCCAAGATTGTACTATACTGATTCAGAATGTGTCACATCACATGGAAAGCATTTCCAAAGGGTAAAATTTATTTCATATAAAAATTAACTTTCATTAATATTTTATTGTGTACCTTTTTTTTTTCTGCTGAAAAATATTGATATAATTTAATTACATTTGTTTTTTTTTTTTTTTTTTTTTTTTTTTTTTTTTTTAAGAATTCAAATTTCAGCACAAAAAACCAATCCATTATGCTATACCATATTATGCACGAGCATCAAATACTCAGGTATTTTAATTTCAAAAAATATTTATTTTATTAAATAAAATAAATTAGAATATTTTTGATTCAACTGATGAGATGATATATTAGAAAGATTGATTAAGTGTACAAGAATATCATAATTTAAAGAATGAATTTTTTACTTTTCGGTCATGAAATTTTGATCGAATTCAAAAAAAGTATACCTGGTTGAGCTTTTTAAATTGCCTAGTTATACATAAATTTCTTAATTAAAGAATTTACCTGTTTTAATAGAATATAACTTTCTTAATTAAAGAATTTACCTGTTTTAATAGAATATAACTTTCTTAATTAAAGAATTTATTCGTTTAATAGAATATCTAATCCTTTCAAATTTAATCATTTTAATAAGACCTTTTAATTTTACTACACTCATTTTCATTCCTTAAAAAAGGAAAAAAAAAAAAAAGCTTTTTTCTAATGATAATTTCAGGAAGCTGTTCAAACTGATACCTTATTGCAGCAATTTTTGATGCGAGTAAATATTAGTGAAGATCGTTCCGGTATACTGCCGAATCGTTCACCACTATCCCATCAATCTTTGCCATTATCATCGTTATCAACATCAAAACAACATCCGACACATGCGACACAATCTACAATGAATGAAGTTCAACATACCTTAAATCGACGACAGCTGTCACCTAGTGAAACAGCTCGAATTCATTGTAAACATACTCTTGTATAGCGGTTATATTTTAGGAAAATTTTAAATTATATTTTCATTCTTTCATTTTTTTTTTTTTATTTTGATAATAGAAAAGAAAAATTATTCAATAATTGATTAAATGAATAAGTTGCAATAAAGAAATACACAATTTCAAACGATAATGTACGTAAACTAAAGTTTGAATGTTTAATTTTTCTTTTTTTCCATTTGTAAATAAAAATGAACGTTTTTTTACAAAAATTTTTCGTTTTTATTATTTTATTTTATATTTGCATTTCACATCGATGAAATTAATTCTGTTAGATTTTATTATGTTTTTGTAACTGTACAAAAAATTCAAATGCATTTTATTATAATTATTAAAAAAATTATGCAAAAGAGTGAAAAAAGTAATAGGAAATTATTATGTTGCGTTTTTATAAAATTTTTTCCAAAGTATTCGATTTTCTTTGCTTTTTTTGGAAGTGATAAAATTTTCGATTGTTTAAAATGCAAAAGTTTTTTTTTTCCCTCAAAAGTGAAACAATGAAATATTTATTCAAATTTATTGTTAAATTTAATTATTTAAAGATTTGCAAGAATTATAAAAAAAAAACAATACTAATCAAATGCTCTAAACAGTGCTGTTAACATTATTATTTAACATATGAAAGTAGCAAAAGATATTTTTTTTTCAAAATATAATTAAGTTATTCATTGCCTAAATGATTTTATATTTTTTGCAAAATGTTAATTTCCAGTAGGGACATATATATTTAAATTTAATCCCATATTATGATATAAATTTATTATGGTTAACTCTGTTCAAGTTGTAAATTAAAGGTTTAAATTTTTTTTTCCTTTTTGTCACCTCTTTTTTACACATACTTATTTGCATGTTTTCTTGTTTCTTATCATTATTTCTTATCATAATTTTGTTTTCCAACTTTCTTTCTCTCTTTACTGCCATAAAATTTATTAATGTACTAAATTGAATTTGGTGGTAAATTTTGTTTTTAACTTTTCTACAATTAATTAAAAGTAACAAAAACGGCAACTTATCACAATTTTTCTCACAATTTGTTCCATCTTTGTTTACCTTTATCATATCATAAAAATCTTATTGTAACAATTTTTTCACCTTATCATAAGGATTTTTTTTCTTTTTATCACTTTGTTAATAGTTTTTTTTCTTTTTGCTCGTATCATAAAAAACTTATAATAAATAAAATTTTCATTACAAAAACTTTTTCCTTTTATCATGAAGAGGAACAGGAAATACTGATAGTTACTATTAAAAAATTATTCTTAAGGTGAAATTTTTTTTTTTTTTTTGTTACTTTTACTATATTTTTCTTTAAATCCTTATCATAAAGAAATGGTAAAGATTTCAGATACTACTGAAATGAAAAAAATTCATATCATTTCTAATAGATTTTACAAACTAATCAATTACATTTAACACAAATTTTAGGAAATTATTTATCAAGAGTAATCAGTTATCAGTGTTATTAATGGCTACTATATAAATAATACCGTGCTAAATAATATTTTGCCAAAAATTAATCTAAATTTCAATATGTAAATAAAATATTATTACCATAAAACAAAAAATAAAAACAAGAAATGAAAATTTTGCTAGCAAAATGATCATACTAAATGATATATGATTAAATATTTTTAGTATTTAAATTATACAATTTAAATTTCATCCATAAAATTTGAATCAATTTCTGAGTTATGACTCAGCATGAAGAGTATTGTAGAAGATGTCACGAGTTCAATAATGTTTTATTGATTTTATGTCTAACTAAAGATTTTGAAATCAATTATTGAAAACCGGCTGACAAGTCATGAAGAGAAACAGGAAAAAGAAAGAGAGAGGAAGAATGAGAGAGGGAGGGACAGAGAAAGAGGAGAGACAAATTTTGTCACATACAGCTTTCATCTTTTTGTAATATTGGTAATAGCTTTTTACCGCTATTATTATTATTGTTCAAGCTTCATTATCTAATTAACAATGGTAAATTTTGTTTTTATTTTTGCATTTTTTTTTAAGAATTAGAAATTTAATTAAATTTCTATAATTTATTGTTGTGCAGTTTCACACATTTTCTTATAATTTTTCACTTCTGATTCAATTTATTACAATTACAATTAGTTGGTAAAGTTGTTTTTCATGTAAATAAAAAAAAAACCGATAAATAAAACTTTCTGTACTAATAGCTTCATAAGTATGTATGGCATCATTTCATCACTTTTGCTTTTTAATTAATTTATTAAGTATCAATTTTTTTCCTAACTTAGAAGTAAAAATAAAAAAATAAATAAAATGTAAATAAATAAGTTATGGAGAAACGATATACTTTATTCCATAATTTCTATTTTTAATCTATTTACTCAAAAAAAAAAAGAAAAAGTTATTACAATTCACCTCACAACTTTTATGTGTGCTTTAAAGTCATTTCATTAGTTTGTTGATTTTTTTTTTTTTTTTTTTGAAATTTAAATCTGAATTTAAAATGTTACTCTAATTCTATTGAAATTTTGGGACAGCAATAATAAAAGAGGCGATTTAGAGTAAAATTAAAAATTTTTAACACTTACTATGTGCATATATATTCAATGTATTACCAGATTTGCAGTGCATTATTTAATTTAATCAATTTTTTGTAGCAAACTTTTCACGGTCAACCTTATGGACCCTATCCGGCAGGTCAGTGTTATCCGTGTTCGCCAGCCCCAGGCTATTATTGTCCACAGCCATGTTATCAGTAAATTTTGTTTCATTTATAACAGTGTAAAATATTGTTGATCTTAACATAAGGATTAAAATGTTTATTTATTTTTTCAAAAAATAAAAATTCTGATTAGTCATTAAATTTGAATAATTTATCATTAATCCATGTAAAAAATAAAAATTGCTTATGCACTTTTTTTTACTAGAAATTCAGAAGAAAAATTTAATTATAATAAAAATCGAACAAATGGTGCCTATTTAATGAAAATGATATAACTAATAAACAATATCAAGAGTTTTGAATTTTCACTCATAATGATTTTATTTTCATATATTTTAGTGAAAGACCAAGATATCCCGGATGTTCCGGTTGGTTAATGGCATTAATTGCGTTATGTTGTGGATGTTTTATTGGAGAGCATTTTGATACAGATTGTTGCTGTTGTTTTATTCCATGTCCACCGTGTCATAGATATTAAAAATGATGGAAATGAATCTTTTGATATTGAAAATTATCCGAACAAATGCTTGTGAATATGTCCATTTCTTTTTTTACTTCATTATATATATATATATTTAATTTAATTATAATTAAGTATTGCCTCAGTTAATTTCGGTTTTCTTTTTTACACTTTTTTTTAAGCAATTTTCCTATTATTTGGCATATTGTTAATGTTAGTTTTAGCTATATCAAGCAATATTATTTAATATCAAATATATTGATAATTGCTTGATGACTTCACGGCTTCTAACGATAATAATTATAGTGCTGTTAATTTGATGATAAAGGTGATGACGATGAAGAAGGATGATAACAATCAATTTAATGATGATAAAAGAACATACACGAAATATTAATCTGCTGGATGGAAGATTATGATAATTAGGTTCTCCGCTCTGTCAGTGATATTGTAGTTGATGATGCATGATAAAAGAAATTGCTAAATCTTTCATATTTCTGAAATCTTTTATGAGTTGTATTCCTCCCTTGTTCAATAATATACATGGAATCCTCTACAATTTCCGAAATTGTTTCCGGAATATGCCTTACCTGGCTATTTTCTTTAAAATGTTGTTAATTGCTTTCTCCTGGACACTGAATCATTTGCCTTGAACCATACTGCAAGCTTTTTCTTTTTTTGTTTAAATTAAAATTAATAAATTTTTAGCATAAAATGATATGAAACTCTTTGGAATAGCTCGTATTTGTTCAACAAATTTTAATCGACTGAATTAAACACCATTATCGGATTACAAAGTGATTAATTTGAAAAATAATCTGGAAGTGACTATTAAACTTATTAGATAAAACTAAAAAATCAAAATCGATGAACACAACATATAATTTTTGATCGTAAATAGAAAAACCGAAGTCAGTTCAAACATATCCTTTTAGTACATTCTTTTAAATTTTAGAAGAGAGATAAAGACAGAGATCGGGAGAATCAAATTCTTTTAGAAGCTTTAATATGTCCTTGCAACAATACTTTTTACAAAGCAAGAATAAACATTAAACATGTCTTTGCTTTAGTTACCAGTTACAAGCCAATTACAAACCACTTACAAACCAATTACAAACCACTTACAAACCAATTACAAACCGCTCACAAACCACTTACAAACCAATTACAAACCGCCCACAAACCACTTACAAACCAATTACAAACCAATTCCAAACCAATTACAAACCGCTCACAAACCAATTACAAACCGCTCACAAACCAATTACAAACCGCTCACAAACCACTTACAAACCAATTACAAACCACTTACAAACCAGTTACAAACCACTTACAAACCACTTACAAACCAATTACAAACCACTTACAAACCAATTACAAACCAATTACAAACCACTTACAAACCAATTACAAACCACTTACAAACCAATTACAAACCACCTACAAACCAATTACAAACCAATTACAAACCAATTACAAACCAATTACAAACCAATTACAAACCACTTACAAACCAATTCCAAACCAATTACAAACCAATTAGAAACCAATTACAAACCAATTACAAACCACTTACAAACCAATTACAAACAAACCACTTACAAACCAATTACAAACCACTTACAAACCAATTACAAACCGCTCACAAACCAATTACAAACCAATTACAAACCAATTACAAACCACTTACAAACCAATTCCAAACCAATTACAAACCACTTACAAACCAATTCCAAACCAATTACAAACCAATTAGAAACCAATTACAAACCGCCCACAAACCACTTACAAACCAATTACAAACCACTTACAAACCAATTACAAACCACTTACAAACCACTTACAAACCAATTACAAACCACTTACAAACCAATTCCGAACCAATTACAAACCACTTACAAACCAGTTACAAACCGATTACAAACCACTCACAAATGAATTATAAACCACTCACAAATGAATTACAAACCACTTAAAAATCAATTGCAAACCACTCACAAACCAATTATAAACCACCTACAAACCATTTACACACCACTTATAAACCGCCTAAAACCTGTTTTATTTCATGTAATTGAAAATAAAAACAAAAGTTTTTTGTGCTAATTACATTTCAGGATATTAGCGAACTATTCAAACTATACAAAATGGACAAATGCGTTAAAAAGGAAGTTGAAAAAGTAGAAAAAAACTGCAACCCAAAACAATTTTCGTTAATTTTTTTTGGATAAAGTTTTGGCTAGACATTTCTGGAAAATATTTGCATTGCACTGAGAATGACTCAATAAATAATGCTTTCGCTTTCTCTATTGTGATAAATTCACTGCAGCCAGGTTGATGGATAGATCATTTACTACATTATGCTTCAACAGAAAAAAGTCGATAGAACAGAGTTAAATAATACATAAAATTTGCTAAATTGATGGGTTAAATAAACGATATTCACAAAAGATTGTTTTAAATTACAATTAAAGGCAAGCGAAGAGAACACATAGTTGGATATTCATATAAAACATATTTTGTCATTTCTTCGCTATTTATTGTTTTTAATTTTTGAAGACTAAGAATTGTGCAGATTTATAGCGCGGATCAAGTAGTTGAAGTAATGACATGTTCATAGATCGCAAAACGATAACTTCTGACTCAGCATTTCATAGTAATATTGACTGTTTTTTTTTTGAACAGCTTCATTAATATTTGAAATTTATTTTTTTTTTATACACTGCTTTATTTATAAAAAGTGTTTTTTAGATTTTAGATGAGAAATACTAATTTAAAATGCCAATAAACTGATTAAATAATGGGACAATCACATTATTTTACCAATTTCACTAGAGCAAAAAAATGAGCAAGAATGCTATATCAGTAAGGATACAGCAATTCAAAAACAAACCTAAAGATCCGCATGAATTGTAAATTATCCTTTGAATCTATAGAATCAGCAGTTTTTGCTTAACTGATATCCTTTGCAGCTTAGCAACTAGTAAATCGATTTGCATGTAACTAGGTCAACAGCTTTTTGTTAGACCAATTACAGGTCAACCTCATATTGTAAATTATATTTGTTTACGCATATTGCTTCCTGATACTTATTGAAGGGGCATTGTGTATTTTTTACCAAGAACCACAGCAGTTAAATTTCAATTCTTTTTATCAACTTATTGTACTATTGTTTCTATTTATAAAGGAATTATTATATTCCTCTGTTACCCCACTTATTTTTTTATCTACATCCAACAAATCTCTCTGCAATCAAAATATTAATTAAAATTTCAAATTTTCCACGACATTTTTGTGCTGGGATGATTATCCAGCAATGCTGGAAAAATATTGGAATTGCTAAAATCTTATAGAATTTGTTTAAGGATAGTAATTGACAAGTACCGAACAAATTATATGAACTACCACAAATAACAACATGTACTCGTTGTGTATTTTTAAGATGAAATTTCAGTTTAGCTTAGCTGTACTACTAATACAGTGATTAAATTTTTGCAATTAAATTTTTTGGAGTGCAATTAAATTTTGAAAAAACAAGACGAAACTAAAATGTGTACATATTTGTGCTAATTCATATAACATCTAAAAATTAGCGTTGACCAGGTTTTTGGATAAATTATATTCAATGGCCTGATCAATTTCCCAAAATGCATTATCTGTCAAAAATATATTAACCTTGTTGCTAATAAGCCTTATTATTTTTGAAATATAATATTGTAACATATGGTCCAATAGACTACTACCATTTTTTACAGAATTATTAGTAAATCTCGACTCTATATTATTAGGTTTTATTTCATCTGTAGTCTTGCAAAACTTGCAATATCAGTTTCAATAATTCTCGTTATCTTGATATCTGTATTAAAAAAGTTTATATTTAGTTTATATTTATTGTATTCATACAGATTTAGATTTCAGAAAGAGTTAGGAGTAATTATAAAATCAACACTGTTAACAGTGCAGAGAGTGGATTCTTTTATTATGATACGCATGATATCAATTACTTTAACACACTTGACAAATGTTTTATCAAAGCAATTAATTTACCTGATATTAATCTTTTTAAATTGATTATCAACTGATTAGATATGCACTGCACTTTTTTTTTATACTTTGTAAAGGATAACAGTTTCTATCATTCCTTTTCTTGTCTTCTAACAAACTCAAAACAATTTTTTTTTTTGTTTTTTTGATGTACAAGATGATTATTCAGAACAATGAGAAATTGATTGGTACAAAAAGTACTTTGTTGATTTGTTGCTTCTCGTGGAGTTTTAGATATTTACTCTTTGAATAATCATTTTGTATATCAAAAAAGAAACAAAAAAACGATTAAAAAAAAAAAAATGTTATTTTGGGTTTGTTAGAAGAGAAGGAAAGAACCGATAATATTCGATTTAATTAGAGTTATCCGGAAGTTTATATGAAGGAAATATAAAACAGAAATATCTTTTATTATCACAACAAATAACATTTCGTTTTTGTTTATTTCAAAATAATTCTTGCTATTATATGAATGTAAACAAGTCTGACTGACATGAAATGCATTTTCATACTATTAAAATATTCGTTCACTCAAAACTTATTCCGCCTAAGTGTAAACTGAGCTAGCATTAATTAAATTTTCAGAACAATAAGCGTAACGACCTCCTATTAATATACTTAGTTTAGGATGAACACGCCGCACTTTAAGGTTCAAAATAAATACAAGTTACTATCGAATGAAAGATATCTATTGTTGATTAATTCAAACGATGAATTCAAAAGTTTGTCAAAATGATATTTTAACAGTTCATTGTTACGAAAGTAAGTATTCATTGCATCGATTAAAATTTAGATACATTCTTTCACTAAAGACAAAACTCTCATTTTGTGGTAAGATAATTAGGAATTAAGTGAAGTACAAAAAAAATTTCTATTTTCTTTATAGTATTACTTTAGCATAGCTCTCATTATATCTGCTTATCATTACATTTATCACTACATATGAATGCAATGACAAAGAATATTATCAGTTCGGTAATGCTTGAAATTGGATGAAAGTGCGATTGCACAATGATAGGTATTGTAGATCAGGCATCACTCAGGGATTATATGGATTAACACAAATAGAAATATCACTGTTTGTTCTGTTCATATTGCCAGTCTTCGTTAAAACATTTATCAGTGATAAGATGTGATATGGATTTGACATATCCGTGACACTGAAAAGTGGATCTTCTGATTTATAGATAGTTATTTATGAATGTATGTATGTAAGCATGTGTATACGTTTGTAACTTACGTGTATCCACGTATGCTTATGCGTATGTATATGTGTATATATAATTTACGTCTTCCAGTGATACGAATTATCCTCTCATTAATTAATAATGAAGCGGCAGTTGCACACGAGGACACAGTTAACAATTGCACTGCTTTTCAATTACGACATCTGCGCAGATCTATTTTCTCCTTCTCAAAATCATTTTCTAAAAGTGAAATCAATTTATTTTTTTCTGCAAAAAAAATTGTACATTTTCATCAATCCTTTTATTTCAAAATTAATTTCTCCAAAATCTTATTTTAAAACTAAAACAGCTAATACTAGAAGAAGCACTTTTTTATTGTTCACTTTTTATCAAACCATATATTATTATCAGAGTTAACAGATTCAAATCACATACTATCATGGTTTATGCAATGATAGAAAAAAGATATTAATGTTAAAACATACTCTTGAATGAGGCAATAACATGTTAAATTCGATTTTTGACTAATTATTATGTCATACAAATTCTTTTTTTTTACAAAATATATTATATATTGCTGAACTTTGTTAATATAATACAAAAATTAATTAACCATCAATCATTCAATGATCACAAAGTAAGTATTATTTAGAAGAAATGAAGAAGAAAATAGAGAAAAAATGTTGATCAGTAATGTTTACATAATAAAAATGAAAGTAATAATAATAACAATAGTTAATAATAATGACAATAATAATAATAATAATAAATAGTAAATAATACACTTATGAATGATGTGGTATAAATAATTGAAGAAGTTCTATTGGAAATGGGAATATTACTGTTGAATTTTTCTCGGCACTGCAAAATATAGTTTTAAATGAGAGGAAAATGAAAGAAATAAAATAAACAATAATTAATGTGTTTATGCAAAAATTACATAAACATAAATCATTTTATATACTAAATAATTGCTAAATGTGCATAATATAACTGCTTGTATCATACTAAATATATCATACATCATAAATATATCATACATCATTTTAAAATGAAGTTTTAAAACTTGGAAAATTTGAAAAGATTAAACAACTCTTTGATTGATTTATTATATTAAGAAATTTTAAATAACTTGAAGTTAAAAATTAAACCTGATAGAATTGAGAGTTTGAAGATAACGTAATTGAATTGCACATGGTGATTCAGCAATCATATTTGCAGCTTCATTAAGAGATTCTGAAGCTTTCTTCTCACCTTCCGCTGCTATCACCTTCAAAAACAGTAATCAAACTAAGTAAGTTATATGATTATTTTTGATATTTTGCATTACTAAATATTGAATTTGATTATCGAATTACTGGTATTGCAGTATAATTAATTAAGTTGGATGAATAGAAATGCATTGAAATGAATTACGATAAACTCATGTTAAGGTGAGATCAAGTAATTAAGTACTCTCAAATTCAGAACTAATGATTTGTGTACTATTCAGATATTTTTAGATAATTTTAATTTAACTATTATTTCTGTTTGCATACCTTAGCACGTGCTTCACGTGCAGCTTCAGCTTCAGCGGCCATAACACGTTGTAATTGCACAGGTAGACGAACATCTTTCACTTCAACCCGTTCCACTCGAACACCCCATGGACCGGTTGCCTCATCCAAAGTATTCTGGAAAATATGATCAATATTTTAATTAATTTCACTTTATTGAAAAAATTTTTTTTCCTCAATTTATAATTTATAAATATTATTTCCACGAACATTTTGTTTTAAACATTTTGCTGAAATATCTTTCATGAAAAAATCCAATTAAAAGATATAACATCGAAGTGCAAAAAATGAAAATAACTAAGTTAACAAAAATTAAAACCAACTCAATTATCAACAATCAAACTTATCGATTAAATTAAACAAATCACTATTTTATTCTTAAAATTCATTTTTCTTTTTTTAGTGCAAAAAAATTATATTTTATTTCAAATTTTCAACTTTTAGCATTCAATTGATAGAAGTAAAAATGATTTTTTTTTTTATTTTCATATTTAAATGAATGAATAACTTACTTGCATTTGCATAGAAATAGCTTCTCGATCGCTGAGCATTTCAGCTAAAGTTTTTGTACCAAGTATATTCCTAAGTGTTGTTTGTGCTAATAATTTAGTGGAACGACCAGCATCCTCAACATTTGTTACGGATACAGTGGCATTCGAAATACGGAAATATATGACTGCATCTACAGCTACTGTCACCGAATCGCGTGACAAAATCTAAATTTTATTGTTATTTTATAAGATGAATTCTTGAACAGGAAAAATTAAGCAAGTAAAAAAAAAAAAAAATTTCTTTAATTTGAAAAAAATGAAAAAATTGTTGAAATTTCAACATTTTTGATAAATGATTATAAAAAGGAATTCAATTAAAAGATACGTAATGCTATTAAGAAAAGATATGCTTTGTTTGATGAAAAATTTAATCTAACATTTTAATGCTATCAATAAATTATTACATTGTTATGCTAGCGACTCAATTAAACATAATTAAAAACATACAAATCTTTTTGAGTTATGAATTAAATGAAAGAAAAAAGGAAGTAAATTATTATAATAAAATTAAAATAAATAAGTAAAAAAATACCTCCTGTGGTGGTACATCAAATGATACAACACGTAAATCCACTTTCCTGTAGGAATCAATGCATGGCAAAATAAAAAATAAGCCTATAAGAAGCATATATAAATATTATAAAATATTTCCGAGTGCAAATATAAATTTAAAAAAATAAAAATTTTTCTAAAAAAAAAAAAAAATAATAATAATACCAGGTCCTCGAGCTTTACCAGTCATTAATCTTCCCAAACGAAATATCACTGCTCGTTCATATTCTTGTACAACCTGAAATAATTTCACTGAAAATATTACTTATTATGCTAATCATACATATAAAAAAATTCATAAATGATAAAATGATAAATTAGAGAAAAAACCGATCAAAATTTTGAATTTTTTTCAAAAATTATTTTTTATCTCTCGTTACATTCCTCTTTCGCTATGTCTCTTTTTATCTTCTACTTTTGACCTTGTTGTCATCTACTTTTTCTTTTTAAAATTATTTTTAAAATTCATGAAAAAAATTTTTTAATTGTAAGAAATCAGTAATTAATCTAAATTTGAAACCTTAATACAAGCGCAAGCTGAAAATGGTAGCGTTAAAAAGACGACAATATATGCCACAATTATAAGTATCCAACCACAAATGCCAAGTTCGAGTTTGATAGTAGCTGGAATCATTTACAAATATTTTGAATTAAAATTGTTTATAATGGAAAAAACAAAGTAAAAAAATAGTAAACAATGACCTTTAAACTAATAAATGTTGAAAAAAAATTGTTAAAAATTTATGAAATTTTGAATTTGCAAAAAAAAAAAAAAGCTGAATTGATAAAATATAATAGTGGAAAGACAAAATTTTAAATTATGATAAGTTGCAAAAATAAAATGAAACAATTAAATTCAATTTGCTTCTTATTGCTTTTTATGTAAAATAACGAATGAATAAAATGAATGAGAAATTAATAAGCAAATACAGTAAGAAATGATAAGAAATGCAGATAAGGAAATTTATTTAAAAAAAAAAAAGAAATAAGGCAATTATTGAATTAATTAATAAGCACTAATCATATAAACAAATTAATCATATAAGTAAACATTAATGAAAGTCTTCAATTTCAAAACATCAAAATATATCCGTTAAATTATTTATTCAGTTCAAATATTCTAAAATGAATAATTAATTAGGAAGTTGGAAGAATGTGATAACTTGATAACTTAAATGTGATAACTTACGTTCGAACGAAAATGATAAGCGCTTTGGTCGTGGAGTATTTGCGGCACGATGCCTAAGGGACATATTATGTTGAAGCATTTTAATTTTTCTTTTGAAGTTTTCAGAAGATGAAATAAAATACAATGTTGCGTGAATTTCACATATTTCTTAATCCTTTTATCATCATTTTACTTCCGTAAAATTTGAACGGATCAGGAAATATGCATCAGAAAATGTAGTCGTTTTGATCTGTGTCTATAAATAATTTAATCAATCAAATGATAATGAAATTAGCACTATATTGAGAAGCGGAAATTATTGTTACACAAATATTTACAATTATTCAATAATTTTTTTTTTTAATCAATAAAACAATTATAAATTACATTTTTACGTCATTGTTCAGATTTTTGCTTTAGTTATTTTGAAACATTTCAACAAACAAAATAGTTTAAAAAAATTTCAGAAAAAAACAAAAAAAGAAATTATTTGAAAAAAAAAAAAAAACGAAAATTGAAAATATTAGTTTTGTTTATTAGAATATGAGCTATTTTTTTTAACTTATCTTTCTAAAAATGATAAATAATTGATCATAATTACTAAATATCCATTCTATCTCTTCTAATTTATAATTATCGTCAAAAAAATCCATATTTTTCCCAATCTTTCATCTTACAAACAAAAATATGTGCGTGCGGTAATTTTGCCCACACAACAAAAGCGCCAACTTATTTGTGAAGGAGTGGAATATTGACATATATTAATTACTCAATGGATATTTCAATGACTAATTATTCAATGATGTCATGAAAACAACAATCTATGGCAATTTGAAATAGATTGGTTAAACTGATAAGAGTTATTACGATCAATGAAGTTTAAGTTAAGAAGCAATGATAACTTATCACTATTGTCATACTATATATTTTTTCCTTTCTTATGCATTGCTAATTGTATTTTCGCAATAAAAGACAGACAATAATAAATGATTATTGATTAAATTAAAATTAAAAGTAAAGTTAAATTAAAAGTAAAAAGAAAATCTTTTGGAAAATTTTTCTAAAAAAAAAAAAAAAAATATTTAAAAAAAAGGCAAGAAAAATTGAATGAATAGCATATTATCCCATAGGAATTTCATTTCTCCCTCCATCTATCTCTTCCCTCTAATTTATTTCATTTGCGCTCTTTAATTTGCGCCATTCCTTTCCTAAACCATTTAGATGATAATATTTATTTTTATTTATTTATTTTATTTTTTTTTTAGAGAAAAATTAGTCTAAATTATGCAATAGCAGATTGAACTAGTAATTATTGATTAAAATTAATCATAAGATAAAGTGTAAATTTCAAGCGGAATGAAAATTAGATGTAAACAGAATAGTTTGTGTAGTAATTAAGTAAATAAATTTTGAATAAATAAACCATTAAAATAAAATAATTGTTACCTTGCACAAGCTTTTTCAAAATAACATTCATTATTACTTAGTATGAAATGAGTTTTAGTACTACAAATATCATTATTTTCTTAACGATGAATAGTTTAATTTAGTTAATTAGTTGAAAAATTTTTTCTAATTCATATTTATCATTCTTACAGGCCTAGACTTACTTATTTACTTCATTTACCTTACTTTCAATTTATTTACTTCGTTTAGATCACGTCAATTTAACTTTATCTAATTCTTTGCAACAACAGTTGATTTGATCTATCATCGGCCTATTCTCATCAGTCATTTGTCAAATTATTCTTCTCCTGGGATTTCGACAGAATCTCAAAAAAAAAAAAAAAAAAAAGCAAAAGAAAGAAACAGTTTTACAATCGTTTTATTTCTAAATTTTCTCTTTATACAACTCTTATCTAATAAATTTGACAATATTTTTTTTTTTTTAAATTTTTTTTAGCAAAAAATTTTGAAATAAATTTTAATTACTTCATAATTTGTAAAATTGTTGCAATTATTTGAAATTATTCAAAAAACAAAAATGAATTAAAATCATTAGCTTTTTTTTTCTGAATTTTTATATATTTGTAAAATAAAAAAGCAATTTGATATAAAAAATTATAAACGTTCTACCAAAATTTGAGTTATCAACACCGATAGGTAAGTAAAACTTTAAAATTCATAACACACAAAAAAAAAAAAATTAATGTTATTAAATTACAGCGTTGACGTTTTGCGTTATTTGGTGTAAATTAAGAAAAGGAAACTTCATGTGGAGTTTTAATTTTTTTATTGAAATGAATTAAATATATAACCGAATTAAACTGAAATGAATTAAGCATAAAATTTAATAATTCGTGAATTTCAATTCTTGAGTAACTGAAATAAATTAAATACAAAATTTAACAATTCCTGAATTTCTATCAATTAATTGATTCACAACATATGCAAAGCTATTAATTTAATGCTTATTTGAAATTTAAACTTTAAAAAAAGTTCAAAAGTTAACTATAAAGCAGTATCTGAGGAATTCAGTTTTATTTACTTATAACTTTATTTAGTTCATTGACGAATAACTTTAATTAGTGCTAATTTCTTTTTAGATCATTCATTGATATATAAGTTAAATATTTGTATTTCACTATTTCATGCATTTATTGTTTCATTTAATTATGTTAAATTCATCTCAAAAATGAAATCATAAATAAATGTAAAATTTTGTTAGCTATTAATTTATCACAAAACTATAAAATTCTGCTAATAATTTTAATACTTTCTGCTAAATTCTGCTAATAATTTTAATACTTTGAGCAAAGAATGCGAGACAGAAAGATTATGAGAAAAATAAATTTAATTCTGACATCAAAAATAAATCATTTCACTCCTCTGACAGTAAATATCTTGACAAATTTCTGACAGATGTATTTTTTCATTTTTTTATTTTTTGTCATTTTATTTTATTTATTTATTTGTCATTAAAGTTCTTCTCTTCCTGCCATATAAAATAAAAAATTATGGTAGTAAAATTGCTAAATAAAATAAAAATTTTTATTGGTATCTTCAAACATTATAATTTCAATATATTGATGTAATGTGAAAAAATAAAAAATAAAAAAACACTATAAAATTACTATTTCAATAAAATTTCTTGGAAGAGAGAGAGAGGGAGAGAGAGAGAAAAAAAGAAGGAAAATTTTACTATACTAAAAAATTTCAATATATTTTAAATAAATAATAAAAATTTTTTTTTTCACTTTTTTTTTTTTTAAAGAAAATTTTAAAATCATGAAAATTTCAGTGGCAAAAAAGTGGTAGGAAAAAAAAAAAGAAATAAGTATAAAGAAGAAGAGAGAAAAAAAAAAATGATTAATTGAAAATGATGTAGTTCAGGAAATTTTATTAGCTTCTTGAATTAGCTGAAGAGGATAAAATGAAATCGAATCAACTAATAATATTTGTTACAGAGAGAAAGAAAGAAAGAAAGAAAGAAAGAAGAGAGAGAGAGAGAGAGAGGGAGAAAAAAAATGAAAAATAAGGAAAGGTTTTAAATTTATTCTTTGATCAATTTGATGAAAAAAAAAAAAGCAGTAATTTATAGTCAATTATTTTTTTTTTTTATACGACAACCATATGAATTACATATCATAAATTTTTACCATAAAATATTTAAAGTTTTTTTTTTTTTGTTTTTATTTTTTTATTTTTTTTAAATTTTAAAAAGATTAGAAGAATGATTGAATGAAATGAGAATGTTTTGTTGAATGAAAAGATGAAACTTTTTCGTGTTTATCAAATCAATTAAACTTATTTTTCGAAATAATTTATCATGATGAAGAATTTGACGAAATAATAAAATTAAATGAAAAATGATAGCATAAATTTAAAGTATTTTAAAGTTTAACAATGTGTGTGTGTGTGTATGTATGTGTATGTGTTTTGCAACAAATATTAAAATGATAAACAATAACTGATAAAATGCTTTTTTTTTTTTTTTTTTTTGATTGCTTCTCCAAGTTTTAAATCATTTTTCTTAATTAAAGTAACATACTAAAGAGAAACCACTTTCGAGAGACCATTTTTTATTATATTTTTAAAAGTTTAAATCCAAAAATATTTAGAATTTAAAGTCTTAAATTCTAATTAGAAGTATTTGATGTGTCATACAAATGATCCAATATACATCTTCCAGTTGTCACATAAACATATGTATGACGGAAATGTCACATCAAATAAGCATATTGGACAAAAAAAAAAAAAAAAAAAAAAAGCAATCGAGAAATATAAATTTTAATTTACTTTTAATTAGCTGTTTGAATGTTGAAAAAAATGCAAAGAAAAATTTGCTAAATAAATAAAAAGCAAAACAATTGATGAGCATTTAGAAATATCACTTTTGACAAGTTTGATTTACTTTTTCTAATTGAAACAAAACCAACTGTTTGAATATTTGTAAATTGTGCTTTTTTGTTTTTTGTTTTTTTTTTTTTTTTCGCTTTTCTTCTACAAAAATTTTTTGTCAAAAAATTCTCGAATTTTTTTCTTTTCTTTGTTTAAAATTTGAATTGAACAGATGAACTTGTTATCTAATTTGTGCAAAAAAAAATTGAAAAAAATTTTTAAATCTTTTGAAATTTATTGCCAAATTGTCAAAACAAAAAACAAAAAAACACTTCCTTTAAGTTAATTTTGAAATACTGAATCTAAATTTAGTTCATTTGTTTAGTTTCTCAGAATTTTGTTAGATCAATCAAGATTTGAAGAAGGAAGTAACTGATTGAGTACTATTCAAATATGAATTAAATAAATTCCATTTCGAAGAATTTTATTTTTTCAAATTTATACAAATTTAGATTAAAGAAATTATAGCAGTTTGATATGCACAATCAATAAATAGTGATTATTTTTCAGCAAATACTAATTAAAAGTTAATTAATTGATTGAGATTAATTTATCATAAATGTAGATTTTTTATGTCTCTTAAATTTTCATCTAAATATACAATAATTATTTTTCATTTAAAATGCTGTCAATGAAATTACTAATTGGTCAAATTGCCAAATGAAAATTTAACTAATTTTGATGACTAAATGCAACTAAGTATAAAATATTAAATTAGGCAATTAAAATTCGGAGAAAAAGAAATTATAAATGCATTAA